CTTTCTTATGTTCTGATAATCTCACTACATCTAATCTACTAGTTTTGTAACAACAGAAGGCAAGAGTCAGGCAACAGATCATTTATTAAGGAAATCAACGCATATTTATATATATTTCATATACATTACTATGGTTATTTAAGCAAACAAACACAGTCTTCCGATTGGTTGTTTCTCACGTAAAGTTAATCTTTCATCTATTTGTGACTGTTTCTTGAATGTCAAATCCTCTATATGTTAACTGTATCCGCCTACGCACAGTCTGCTGTGGTCGGTTTTTGAATCAATCTTTGTTCACATTTTCTCACGACAAATCTTGGGAACGTAAATATTGACGTAAATTACTGTCTACCAATTTGGCTAGTAGACAGCTCTCACCACAGTTTGACCTATGTAGTTGACCCAACTCACAGTCATTGCAAGGTATTTTGTAAATAATATTATTTTGTTTAATTGGGTCCGCCAGCCTACAGAGCTTGTCTCTGAGTGGGTTTGTAGGTTTGAATGCCACCTTAATTCCTGCTTCGTTAGCAGCCCTACGACGTAGGGCCTCAGATGTCCCCTCCTTATATGGTATTGTAACGACAGAAGACAAGGGCCAGGCAACAGAACGTTTTTCGAGGAAATCAAGAGACATTTACAGAGTTTTATGTACATTATTATTAGCAGAGAAACAGCGTCTTCTGATTGGTCGTTTTCTCGCTGCAAGTTATTCTGTCATCTCTTTGTGGCCGTTTCTTATACAGACTGCAAATCGTATCCACCCACGCAGTCTCCTGTGATTGATTGTTGAGTTAGTCTTTGTTCTTGTTTCTTCTCATGCCCAAGATATGGGACCTAGACATTGACGTAAATTGCTGTCCACCAATTTTGGCTAGCAGACAGCTCTCACCACAGTATAACTGTAAATGCCTTATATTCTCTCATATTAATGTTATCATAATTAGTTTCACCATTTTTTTATTTTGTCCTTTTCTGATCTTCCTAAGGAATTTTATAGGATAATTATTTACTACCAACGCTTCTTCTATCTGTTTCATTTCATCATTTAGGTCTTTTTTTGTACTATTTAATGCTGTTGGTTGGTTTGTTAGACATTAAACTAAGCCAGCCTTTACAGATGACGAACGGATGAGATGAATTAAAGTCTAAATATCTATTAGCAGAATGCGTTGGCTTTTTATAAACGCTATTGCGCAGTTTACCTTCTTCTGTTCGTTTTTATTTTACAATCTAAAATCATAGCTAATTCCCCTTGTTCATTTTCTGACTCAAATGTGATTGTTATTCCCCTTACTAGTGAGTTTATATGTGTCAAGAATCTAGAAAGAGATATGTTCGGTTTTTTAACACTGTGAAAGTGTCATCCACATATCTCCACCATATTTTTGGAGTGGGATTAAATGTATTTTTAGAGAAGTATTTTTCCAGCTGTCCATAAAGATATCTGCTACGATAGGGGATATTGGTGATACATCACGTCGCTACATCATCTATTTGTTTATATATTTCACCCTGGAATTTAAAGACAGTAGATGTGAGGCAGCTTGTCTATAATATTCATATTATCCAAAGTTGAAAAATAAAATACAATAACATCTCATCCTGGTTCTGAACTTCATTTGATCTTAGTTTGGCATGATTATTCACTATACTAGGTTTATTGTGGTAGTCGTCCTACGCAAGCTGTACATATTGTAACACGGAATAATTGTTTGGAAAATGTCTTCTGAATCATTGAATTGCAATATTTAGACGTTTCAACGAACTTTGTTATTATTATCCCTTTGTCTCCTAAAGTGTATATCGCTATCCTGATATTTGTATATCACCTATTGATCTGATCCTTATAATTTGTCTTTGTCCCTGTTTAATCTATGGCTTGCTTTGTTGTTAATAACATAATTTTAAGCTCTTTTATTTCTCTCTTATTTTGTATACTATAGTGAACACCTTCTTAAACATACTTAGCTACCTAAATTATTAACATTGGCTTACTTTTTGTACTTTACTGTATTCCTTCTTTGGTGTATCTACTGGTTCCGACTATATTAGCACTATGGGTAGTACAAAATTGTCCTGTCATTAACCATCATGTAATTATTAGTTTTTGTGGTGGTTTTTCTTATTTTTTATTTCTTTCGGCAATATTAAACTGACAATCATTGGTTGTGAACGCCATTGTCACCCTTAAAATTTTGTATTATGCAGGATTACTCACACTACCACTACAAACACCGCATTAGACCTAACAATAAAAAACAAAAAAACAACCCTGAAATGTTATTTTATGATTGGTTAGAATTGTTTCAACCAAATTAACTGATCATCTTGCCGATAAACATTCTTAAATATCAGTTCATAACTTCTTGTATGACTAATAGCTTTACTGTCACCATGCTGAATCATATCATAGCTTCCACTACCCAATACTGAGTTACTATTATATGCTGTTTATTTTCCTTTCTACTTCTTCGTATTTTTTCGCATTTTTTAAAATTATTTTGTTTTTCCTGTTTCTTTTGCTGTTGGTGTCTTTGTATTTATTTTTTTGAAAATACTCCTTTTAAACGTTGGACAGAGTTATTGATGTCACCTTTTTAGAAGTATTCTTTTTGGTTGTAAGTGGTCGTTTTGTGCTTAGACTTGATTGTATAGTTCCCTAGCGGCGCTGTTGAGGCAATGTTGAATAGAACTGCAGATTATTGAGGAATAATCGTCTTTTTGCTGTCTTTGAAGAGATTCGTGATTGCACGTGTGCGTCGGTGGCACAGTGGTTAGGACTCTCGCCGACCATGCACATGGTCCGGGGTTCAATCACCTGCCGACACACACCCGATATCTATGGTTGGCCTGCAAAATTTGGGCTACCGATATCACATGCTGAAAATTCCATACCTGTACTAAAAAATTCGAACAGCTAGCTGTACAGGAAGTAGGATGCAGACATCTGTTTCCTGAGCTTATTTCTCTCAATAATGATTATCCTATTATCTTTCTTATCCAAACTTCCTGTGAATTTTACGTATTTCGATCTCTAATTGCCCTATTGTGTTTTTTCTTTATCTGAACTCCCTGTCTATTTTGTCGTCAGTACTAGGTTTTTAATACCTAATTGCACGAAAAAGTCAGTTTTCCCAGTAGCTATAATTCTATTATGCTTTCATCCCTATCTTCTCGTTTATTTTGTTATTATTATATTCTAATCCTTATTTGTACTTTTGTTAACTTGAACCTTGACCGGAACGGATCTGGGAGTTTCTCACCTATTTGCCGCATAAATACACGAATGTATACAGCCTAGTTGATGACTTCATCGAAAACAAAACAAAAAATTTTTCTTCACTGCAACCGTCTTTTTAATTTATGGAATCATTGAAATCCTACTCCGTTCAGACGATTCTGTTTTAGTAAATAGTACTTCTGCCTTAATGGTAGGTAGAGTGCTCACTAACCTAGTGCCAGGTCCGGAATCTAATCCCACGCAGACGCACTTCTGAGCCTCAGCAAGTTTACTATCTCATAATAAGTATGGAATGGAGGGGAAGGTTAGCCGTAAGACTGGCAAATAAAAAGAAACGCCAGTGCTTCAAAGATTAAAGTTTTATTACGTAATTCATTTACGACTTTCACACTGATTGATTGAACCGAAGTGCTTGACCTCAGTAGACATGTTGGCTGCTAGTGTGAATGCTTCGCCGATACCTGAGAATTTAACCTGAAGTAATTTGGTGCAGGGTAGTGACTAACAGGGGATTCCAGACTGTATATTTCATCCTCGAAAGCTGGATGCACTTGCAACACAGGCAGGATATTTCTTCTACGGGAAAGTCAAAATTGATTTGAATAATAACTAATACCTATTGGACAAGAGGTGGCTTTCGTGGCCCAAATGGTCTAGTGGATAACACTTTGACGTTTGAAACAATGGGTACTGGGTTCAAGTCTCAGTAGGAACACTATCACTCACAAACTGGAGAATGCAGGTACATTCAGATGACGAGTCCCATTTAAGACGAAGTGTGCATCCTGGATTTCATTGCTAGTCAACATCCAACAAATTAATTAAAGTATTATTTTTATTTTTTTATTATTTTTGATTAAAGCTTGATGCCACACCGTATGTTCAGTACAAGTATGGAATATTCAGCATGGATATCGGTAGCCCAAATTTTGCAGGCCGACCATAGATATCGGGTGTGCGTCGGCAGAGGATCAAACCCTGGACCATGTGCATGGTCGGCGAGAGTCCTAACCACTGTAGGGAAGGGATTTAATTGATTGTGAGCTAGCATCGGCCAGAGAACCATTGGAAAACCTGCCATGAATACTGGACAACTGTTTCATCCTAGTCTGGGACTCTTCAACAGTACGCACCCACACTGCGGTGTTCGAAACCAGGATTTTCTGGTTACAAGGCGAGCTGGCTCGTAGACCATTCAGAAGCCACTGGAACCCATATCAAATGCCCGTGGACTCCAACTTCTGCCAATTGACGACATAGCGCAATCACTTAGCAATGTTTTCTTTGATGAGTAACTGTTCTCACCTTCGACCTACTGTACTCTACTGGTCCCGACTTCCCACTAGAACCTCACGTAACAATTACCTAGCTGAATAAGTCCAGTCGCTAGTGTGAGCATCTCATTGATATTCGAGTATTCGTTTGCAGGGATTTGATAGATCGGTTACAGGATTCAGGTTCTCTGACCGATGTCAGCTCATTAATGAAATCTTGTAATCAAATGAATTGAAGCCTTATGTTTCACTTAGAAATCAAAGAATGACAACAACAAAATGAATCAAGTTTTTTCATAGTTTCTTTTAAAAAAAGAAAAAATTCATTCACAATAATGAAGTAAAAGACAGACCAATGAAAGATAGACATTAAAAATTGTCAAAATAAACAACAACAGTTAGTTGTCTGTTGTTGATTTTCAAAAGAGAAAGAGAAGTACAAAGAATCACATAATAACAGACTTCCTATATCTACACTACAATGATGATTACAAATAGAAATGAACACTTGTAGTAAGTAGAAAAGGAAACGCCTATGTGTCGGTAGGCTAGTAAATAGGTAGGTAGATAGGTGCGTATATGCGTGTATGTATGTATGTGTGTATACACTTCCTCTTGACTTCGTGTCTATGTCATGGATGGATGCATGAATGTATCAGTAGACATTCATTGGGGAAAATACATTCAACATTAAGAATAAGAAGTAATACAGAAATGATATTAGCCAACAAGACAACAAACACACACACGCACAAATATACGAACATACACGTACACACAACCAAGGAAACAACATAAACAGTAGAAATAAATGTTAACAATAAGCAAGAGTAATGTCGCTTAAAGTATATATATGTCATAGGAGAAATGCGTACAAGTTGAAATCAGCAGTTAGACATCTATCTCACAATTAAGATAAAAGCATCAGTATCGTTAATAATTAATTAACCAATCACATTTTAATAAAATAGATACATAAACTGACCGGTTGAATGAAGTTATATCTTATGCTTCAGTATTATTATTATTATTACTGTTATTATCGTTAATGGTACCTAGATAATTTCGAGATTTCTTTTAGCTGAGCATTTGTCATGCGAAATTATTATTATTATTAGCAGTATTATTATGAGATATAAAGAAATTAAAATTGAAATAAAATTACATATACAATATTATCATGAATGAATCATGCCCATGCATACTCTCTTATGGATGATAATTAACACATTTTCTTTCCTTCTTTCTTTCTTTTTCTCTCTCTCTCTTTCATGTTTCATCTTCATAATTGATGTGGTACATCTACTGGTTGCCAACTGGAAATGTCTGATTTGAATAAAACTTTTTGTGGTAGAAGGCTAAGTCTGTTTTGAAAAGATCAAGAAAGACGAGGGACGGGTTGGGAAAAGTGAAGGGGAATATTATGAAACATAAAAAAACGACACAAATGTTATGCAATCTTATTTTGTATTTATACAAGCAAGAAATGCTTCCCTGTTAAGGCTAAGCTATAATACTGGTGAAAGTCGTGTCAATAGAATCATCTAATTCATGTATAAATACGCATGGTTTTTACAAGAGTTATTATTTGTAACAAGATATCTAAGGGAATAAAATTGTTTTCATCATGAGCTGACACTGGTTAGAGAACCATTGGAAAACCTGGGAGTACTGGACAGCTGTTTCACTGGAACTACAGGAAACTCTGTCCTGTAGCAAGTCACCAGCGAGCATCAGATTAATTTTCTATAGTTAATTTGTAAGGATTAGATCTGTCTTTCGAGTTTGACCACGGATTGATATCAATTAGAGAAACACTGAGAACTAGGGAGTACTGAACAGTTGTTTCATTCTAGTTTGGGAATCATCGGCAGTAGACCGATTTTTATTCTATCTTATCCGCTTATGTGAAAACGATTCATATTCTTATCTTTGTTAAGTTAACATCCCCGATAGAAATTATTTTTAGGCCTACTGTTTTCTCTTCTTATGAATGTGTATTCTGAGATCATAGAATAGGTGATGTCCCGTTCAACATCAAGACTATCTCAAGTTTGATCACGGAGTGTTGTCAGTGTGAGAACCAATGAAAACCAGCTGAGAGTACTCGATAGATGTTTCGTCCTAGTTTGAGACTCGTCAATGCTTCCCTAACTGACATCATTTCGTAATCAAAATTCCAACTTTTAGTGAGAAGGTGTCACCAATAGAGTCCACCCGACTGGGCATGAGGACAAATACATGCCGATGACATTGGCTGATGGTTACACTGAAATCACGAATTACTAGAAGTTGGTATTCATTGACTAGCCATTGGATCGGGTCCCAGTAGCTAATTTGTTTTGCGAGTTTGCCGTGTAACCGGAAAATGACTGGCTCAAATCCCAATGGGTGCGTATTACTGACGAGTCCCAAACTGGGACGAAACCGATGTTAAGTACTCATAGCTGGGTTTTCAATGGTTCTCTAGGCTGATATAAATCTGTTTTCAAACTTGAAAATAATTAACTAACTACAAAACAATACTGACAGACATGAATAATTTATTGAGGCAGCCATTGGACTCACCTGTTCAATAGTAACCAGACTACAGAGCCTGTTGTATTCCATAAGACAATAGCACTGACGTAAATAAATATACAAAATAAAAAATGACCTAAATAATCACGAGCAGTTGATAACCAATTCTCAGATTGTATTACAACTTCAGCAAAGTACAATGAAGCATTATATCTAGTAGAAGGAAAGGATAAGAAATATAGAAAAAAAATTAATGTTGATAAAATTAATGACAAGAATAAAAAGTACACGTGTTACTATGGTAATAGGAAATGTGTAGATTACATTTCTCTGGGTTTTTCTTGTTTTTTTTCTACACTAGTGTATACAATAGACTGAATGAACCTTTGAAAAAAATGTACAAATGTGCATAGTTTGTAAATACATTGATATGAAGAAAACCGCATACAGATTGTCACTATAAACAATGAAGAGAAAAAAAGGTCGTTAGTGATCCACTTATTTGTAACATTCCAGGCATGCCTTCATCGACTCTGAAAAAGCCTTCGACAGCTCTGACGACGAAGTATTGTGGAAACTACTTCAACACTATGGAGTGCCTTAAATTTTTATCAACCTCATTCAATAGCTCGCTAAATGACAATGTCATATGTCAGGTGACTGAAAACTGAAAACTCAGTGAGGCGTTTGACGTGAAGACAGGAGTAAGAAAAGGTATAACTCTGACGGTGACGTAGAGGACACATCGTGTAAGAAGGAGATGAGGATTTATGGTATATCGTAGAGCTCGGTAAAGAGGACTGCAGGAAACGGGGTGAATTGTAGATGTTCTGTTGAAACCGTATGTTTCACTCGAAACCCAAGAGAATAATAATAGAGAGAAGACTAGTAGTTCAGCGAAGAGTTTCTTTTCGGTGAATTCATTTTCATAGCTGTACAATCGCAAATATATATGGTTATCTTGTATGTGTGTGTACATTAAATTTGTCAAACGAAAATACAATTAGTAAGTTTTTGGTTACAGAATTTCATCATGAGCTGACATTGGTTAGAGAACCATCGGAAAACCTTTTTTTTATTTTCGTTTACAGCTTGATTCCACACAGTACTTTTGGTATAAGTATGGAATTTTCAGCACGGATATCGGTAGCCCAAATTTTACAGACCGACCATAGATATCGGGTGTGCGTCGGCAGGTAATCGAACCCCGGACCATGTGCATGGTCGGCGGGAGTCCTAACCCCTGTGCTACCTGGGAGTAATGGACAGCTGTTCCATTAGCCTTGTTTGCGACTCTTCATCAGTACGCACCCACACTGAGGGGTTCGAACCCAGGACCTTCTGGTTACAAGGCTAGCTGGCTCGTAGACCATTCAGCAACCACTGGGACCCGATCTAATGACAAGCCCATGAATTCTAACTTTTGCCAATTCACGACATATCGCGACCGCTAGCAAATGTGTTCGGCGAGTATTTGTCCTCACACCCGACCTGCTGCTCCCTACTGGTCACGACTTCCCACTAGAACCTCAGGTAACTACCTAGCTGAAAAGGGCCAGTCGCCAGCGAGTACTCCCAGGTTTTCCAATGGTTCTCTAACTACTGTCAGCTCATGATGAAATCCTGTAACAAATCAATCAAATCCCTACAACCCAATACTTGAATATCAATGAGATGCTCCCACTAGCGACTTGTATATAGTCGACGAATTGAAAGGTGTCACAAAGCGAATATTGGCATATCTGTTTTCTTACACGCTCTAAAGTATCAGCTAACCATTTCACCATTGAATGGTACGGTGAACCTAACATATCTAAACTTGGACGCAATGGGAGGCCGACTTTATGTATCCTTGATAAGCCGTGTAGTCTTGGTATTATTGATCCTGTTCGGTCTTAAATGATAAACAACATCTCAAATAAACACTTATAAGTGAGCTATGGAATGTAACGCTTTATTTTGTTAACACTTGTGAGTATTAAAGAAGATGATTGCTATTTTATGCTAACAAATACAAGTAGTATATCTATACTACATCTCAAGAGGAGTAATAAAGGTTGATCTTCAACTGGTAAGTGTTCTAGACATAGACACAAAACCTATCGATAAAATGAAACAATATAGAAGTTTTTAGAAAATGGAATAACTGTTATCAAAGATATAAAAATGTGCGTCGGTGGCACAGCGGTAGAATGCTCACCAGCCATGGAGGTGGTTCGGGGTTCGATTCTCGGTCGACGAGGCACTCCTTTACCTCGCTAAGCCAGTAATAAGACTGGTAAAAAGAGGGTGGGTTAGGAATGAAAAAAAGAAGATACAGAAGGCTGAAATTGACTTTGCTAACTGGATTGAACGTTACAATGTCTTATATTCTACTGAGATTTTATTATAATTTGCTGTAACAACTAAGGCTTGTCTGCTAAATAAATGGTCTCTTTAATCAATATACTCCGACACATTTTATACACTTGTTCCCATTTATGAATTCGACAAAAGCGAAGACAACAATTTGTACAGGAATAAGGTAGTACCACCATCATTGATTTCGTTGGCTTCTCATCCTGTCTTGTCACTCTCTATGCACAGTCTGCTACATAATCCAGTCCATCACAGTTAAGAATATCATCGGTGATAATAGACAGTCCTATCCTACTCCTGTATGCACTTCGAACGTCTCGCTGGGTTTCCCGTGGTGGATCACCTGGCACGTGGCATTGTCATATAGCTGTTGAATGAGATTGGAAAAGACTTGAGGTTCGCTGTAGTGTTGAAATAGTTTCCAAATTACTTCTCGGTCAACGCCGTCTGTCGAAGGCCTTTTCGAAGTTGATGAAGTTGAGGTAGAGTTTGACGATGCGTAGAGCTGCAATTTGATCAGCACATGATTGGCATTTTCTGAATCCAATTTGTTTCGCGCAGAGTTCTGTATCCAGTGAATCTTTCATTCTTTCCAGGATGATGCCACTTAGTATTTTACTTGGCGTCAACAAAAGCATTATTCCATGACAGTCGGTTCTTGCAAAGGCGTGAGTCGCCCTTCTTTGGGAGTTTGACAATCAGTAGGCACCTTTCCTTCTTCCCAAACTTTTTGCACTAATGGAGTGAGAACATCTGCCGCAGCCTCTGGGTTTGTTTTCAGTTCCTCGGAAGGAATCGTGTCCGGTTCTGCTACCTTCTCGGTTGGTATTCAGTAGCTTGATTGCATTTAGGATTTCTTCTTTCACTGGAGGATTAGTGTCCACTGGCAGTTCTGTGAGTGTTGTTGGTGGTATTTCTGGGCGAGTTGCAGGTGATGGTTGATCCAAGAGCTCTTTGTAGTGATGAGTCCATTGTTTTATTTGTTTCTCCTTCTTAGTAATCTGGTTTCTTTGAGCATCTTATATTGGTTTTATCATCTGGGTTGATGTTTTTCCGGATAGAGACCTGGTTATATGATATGATGTCCTGAGATCTCTTTTGCCTGCAGCTTGTTCTGCTTCAGTTGCCAGCCAGTGTGTCATGGAATTGTCTTCTGTCTTCCTACTAACACTCTTCTTCACTTCTTTATTCATTGCAGTGTACATTGAACTCAGCTTCTCCTTCTGTTACCCATCTTTGCATTGAGTCATCATCTTCCCTTTCACCATTCTTCTCTCCTCGATTAGCTTCCAGGTATCCGTTGAGAGCCATTCCTTGTTATGTCTCTTTTTTCTCCTTAGAACATTTTTACACGTTTCTTAATTGTATAATATTCCCCCCAACCCCTAACCCATATTAAATCTCTACCCCTTATTACTACTGTTATTAACTTGACTTTTGTTAAATTTTAATTTTAATTGAGCTCCATCAATTAGGTTGCGTCACTCAATTTGCTTATTCAACCTTATTTTAGTTTTTAACCCACTAACAGGCGAAGTACAAGAATAGAGTCCCAGGATTGTAAATGTACCACTGACCTTGTGAATGTTCCAATGATACTAAACGCATGCTAGTCATTGGTTGAGGAAGCTTACCATTATTCTAGCGCTAAAATGAACCCTGTTCATGAGCTCAGATGCAAATTCCATCCAGATCACGTTTTCCAGTACTGCCTAGATAATGGATTGATAGGACATACTCGGATATGCGGATGTGGTGCTTCCATGAACCTCCAGTCGTATACTCAGGTCACTGATGGATATGTATTCAGATGTACAAAGGGGTTTATCGAGCTGATTCTAGATACGAGTGCTGATACACTCCTCCCTATTATTCAGCGTCTCGTCTTACCAGCCACCACCATTCACACAGATGAATGGGCAGGATACAACCGATAATCGTAACTGGGTTATATACATCATCGAGTCAACCATTCTGATGACTTCGTCGACTCCAGGACCGGTACTCATACCAATTCAATCGAAGGCTTCTGGGGAAGACTGAAAAATGGAATCAGAGCGATCAACAGATCTCAAAATGAAGTTGTTTTCAGTCACCTAGATGAATACATGTATAGAAATTGGTTCAATTTAAAAACTGAAACCCCCCTACAAAATTGGGAGATTTTTTTATCTCATATTAGAGAAAAATATCCCGTTTAATTTTTTTTATGCTTTTTTTTATGTAAATATACGTAAAATTTTATGCAAAAATCGTCATTTTTCCTGATTGGTCGGCTCAAGGGCACTCGTGCGTTCGCATCCCTTGGGACTCTATTGTAGATCTTTGCCCATTAATGGATGCTTTCAACAATGTATGATAATATTAATAAAAAATTTTTTTTTGATTATAGCTTGACTCCACACAGTATTTTTGAATCAGGTATGGAATTTTCAGCATGTGGTATCGGTCGCGCAAATTTTGTAGGCCGACGACTGATAACAGGTGTACGCCGGCAGGGGGTCAAAACCCGGACCATGTACATGATCGGCGAGAGTCCTAACCGCTGTGCCACCAAAGATTATAACTTTCACAAAAAAAGAAAACATTTTAGCAGTAACATACTCTTTAAATAGTCTTGGAACAATCGGTTTCAATGGACAATAGGGAATGTCTAATCGACGTGCTTCAGCCATTTCTATATCACGTTCAGACTGTGTCATTCGACAGTGTTTCGGTACAACAGCATCAGCAATATTATTCACAGTAAACGAAGATGATGCAGATGAAGAAGTTGATGATGATGATGATTTAGAAGAGGAAGAAGACGAATGAGACTTCCAATCTGAGGTTGATCTTTGCTGTTGTTGTTGTTGTTGTTCCTTATTTATCATATGAATAGGTAAATTTAATTTCGCCAGTGCTGAATTACGATTTAACTGTGCCAACATTTTTGTACGTAAATTTTGAGCAGCAGCCTATCAAAATAAATCAATAAAAAGAAAAAAGAGAGAATAGAAGAATAAAATGCTTGATTTTAATCTTTATAATAATTAGCGTTATATCAAGTAATAAGGCGAGTATTCATTATTACTATTTTATTCCTTTACGCTCCCAGCGGAACGTAGCGGAATTCAAGCTAGAGGCTTAAAGTTTCAGCAGCACTGGTGTTTATTTTTACAGGATGGGGTTGCTTCCCTTCTTTTTACCAGGTTTATTAATGGCTTAGCGAGGTAAAGGAATGCCTCGTCGACTGGGAATCGAACCCCGAACCACGTGCTGTGTGGGTGGCGAGTATTCTACCGCTGTGCCACTGACGCGCAACAAGGGAAGTAAGAATGTCATCAAAACCAACTAGTTATTACTGCTATGAACAGATACTTGAATTTAGGTAAAAGAAATTGGTGAACATCATCTTGTCGGACTGTGAGTATCCTCTTTACACACACACAGACACACACACAACGCTTCCCTTGTATCTCTGCAGGTGGAAATAAAAGTAACCCTATAGAAGACTTTATGCTCAGATGACTAAGTATAAAACCTCTACGATACCTTATATGGGATGTATTTTATATGATGAGAAAATGTTTAATAATAATAATAATTTTTGCTTTATTCCAAAAACAGTATCAATGATACAGCAAGGAATTTTCAGCATTCAGTACAATATTCCATCTAATTTACTCAAAACGACAAAAAAAATAAATATTACATAATAATAATAATAATAAAACGTTGTTATAGCAGCTATGTAGCAATTACAGTATGCGATGACGAGGAAAATATGCATAAAGTATAAAATTGTAGTAATAATAGTAATAACAAATAAAATTAAATCGCTAAGTTATAATTAAACGATAGAAAGGGCGACACCATAAAATTACAAAAGGACGAACGATGAAAGGGTCGATTCACTTTGCTAATTACATAGTAACTTATATGTTTCACGTCTAACAGTGTCTTCATCACATAAAATACGGGCTAAATAGGATATTGTAGAATTTTTGTACTTATTGGTTCGAGCATATAACTTTTTATATTAACTTCTCGTCCTACCTGATGAGATACAAGGGGATAGTTGTGAATAAAAAGGGTGCAGAGGGTCTGACAGTACGGCCTTTGCTCATTTTGTACAGGAATTTATGTCTCTCGACTATAGTATTGGCGAGCTCACGCAGTGGCATACCACAAGCCCTACTCACAGCATTTAACAGCCTTCGTAATATGATATAGTCCTTTTTGAGAAGCCCAGGAAAGCTAATGGAGAGCAATAGAGTTCAGTAAGTAAAATACAGGAGTTAACAAACTGCAGAAGTAAAGGTTGTTTGATACCTGATTGTTTTAACTTTTTAATGTGGAAGGTAAGACGAAACATTTTCTTAGAGACTGATAAGAAGTGGGATGACCATGAAAGGTCAGAGGAAAGAACTAATCCAAGGTATTTAATACTTGACTTGGTTTCAATTTCAGTGCCATCTATGCTACAGGCATCATGGGAACTAACTACTTCATGTATGTCACGTCGATGCTTGAAAGTAAAGTTAACTGCCTAACATTTTGAAGGATTTAACATAAGACCATTTGACTTAGACCATTGCTGATGTCCAACAGAAAGCTATTAAGTTTGGAGCAGTCAGACTCGGAAGTGATGGGCAGTGATACAGTCACATGAAATAAGCATCTTTCTGAGAAATAATAATAGTAATAGTGATCTGCTTTGTTCCAAAAACATTACTTATAATGCAGCATCGAATTTTCAGCATTCGTCACAATATTGCATTTAATTTACTCAAAATATAAATAAAATTAACCATAGGAACGTCTCCACATTTACAGTAGGAATCATGCCAGAAATATGTAAAGTATAAAATGAGAATAATAACTATAATAATAATAACAGTGGGTTTGTTTCAAACATTATTGTCAATACAGTATGGAAATTTTACTGTATCATAGAGTACTGAATCAATTGTTCTCTTGATATAGCATGGTGAAGGGAAAACAGGAAAAATAACAATTATTACACAGCTTAAATGATGTTTACAGTCGTGAAAAAAATGAGAGTACTATAAATACACTAAGGATAATAACAGTTCAAAAAATATGCAGGAGAAAGTGGAGATGGATTGGACACTCGCTGAGGAGGCCAATGGGTGACATCTTGCGTCAGGCCAATGCTCGAGTGGAACCCGAAAGGGAAGCGGCGAGTGGGACGTCGAAGAGTGACATGGAGGAGATCGTGTGAAGAGGAGTTGAAACGGTATGGAGTAACATGGATGCAAGTGAAAAGTGCAGCAGAAGACAGAAGCAAGTGAAGACGTGCAGTTGAAGCCCTATGTTCCACTAGGAACCCAAGGGAACAATATTAATAACAATAATAACAGTTAGACTTGCTGGTATAAGGATGGAGAAAACTGTTTATTTACTACTGGAAAAAAGGTCGGTCAGTTAGTTTGTGACTGACACTATTTTCATCGCATATAATAAGAAATACTAAAAAGGGTATCATGGAATTATTTCTATACTTAGACGTGCGCGCATAAAATCTTTTGAAATGACTTCTTGTTTTGCCTGAGGAGACCCAATGTGAAAGCTGCGGGTAAAGTGGATGTTGACAGTCTGACAAAATCCCTTTAGCAAATTTGTTGCATAAAATCACGTGCCTATCAATGACGATGTCAACAATATGGCCCAATGGGATACTAGCACTCACCCTACTGACAGTCTTCAGACTTCTACAAAGTAAGACATAGTCTTTTTTTTAAGCAATGCAGGAAAGAATAAGGGTGAGCAATAAAGAAGGACCAGAAAAGATCAGCAACAGGGATCTCTGGGAGCGAACCAGCCAGGAACCGATTGTCAAACAAATGGGCAGGAAGAAATGGAGATGGATTGGCCATACTCTGAGGAAACCATCAAATGACATCACTAGACACGCCATTGCTCGAATGGAACTCGAAAAGGAAGCGGCGAGTTGGTCATCAGTGCAAGGGTGACTTGGAGGAGGTCATGCGAAGAGGAGATGAAGGCGTGTGGGCAGACTTGGAGCCAGGTGAAGAATCTAGCAGAGAACGCAATGGAGACTCTTGGCTGAAGCCCTATGTTCCTCTAGGAATTAAAGGAAACAATAATAATAGTAATAAAGAAGGACAGGTGAGCTGCAAGAGTTGACAAAATGTAAGGCGAGGAAGAGTTGAGTTACCCTCGAGTGCCTTAATTTCTTAACGTAAAATGTCACATGGAATGTTTTGCTAGAAATACCTAAGATATAGGAAGAACAGAATAGATCAGAGGAATGAATTACACTAAGATACTTAATGTCATACTTGATTTCTATGTCACTATCATCAGTTTTACAACGGTCATGGGAATTAACAGCTTCACATTTTACTTTCTTTTACGTCGAAAACTGAAATGAACAGTCTGACATTTGGAAGGATTTATTATAAGGCCATTAGACAAAAACCATTTGCCGCCTCAGTCTTTCTACGTATCCTTATTTTTACATTCATATTATTACCGAGATAAATAACAATGTAAATGCTCAGTTAAATTATTCACCCCACTCAGCCCCCACTTCACTACGTGATGTAATGAGAAAAATGAGATGCGATATTAAACTATGTGTTGAAAATTTCACATTGTATAAAATGTAATGTTTGGAATAAAGCCATTACTATTATTATTATTATTATTAGTCTACACCACAAACCAAAGTAATATACTCAATAATTAAGAACCACAAAACAGTGAACTGTTATTTCTCCTAAGTTCGTGACACTTGAACATTTCGAAACGACTATCTTATTTACTAGGAAGACTGTTGACTATCTGCTGAACATTGTTGTTAGACTACCAGATCAGTCGAAATGCATTTAACCAGTGTTTTAAGGATTCTTTCATATCGTCAATTAAAAAAAATAGATTTTCATTCGTGAGTAACTGTCCTCTCATCCGACCACCCCATTGACTTTGTAAATTATATTTCCATACGAGAAGTGAGAGATATCTAATGTTAATAACAGCTACTGATGGATATTCAAGTGGCACATTACACTCACACAGTTAATCATCATCCACAGAAGCATCGATGAACAGTTGTGAAGCTGCAAATCTTGAAGTAGAGCAAATGACTGAAGCTCTAATCGATATCTGTTTACAAGGTTGCGTAAAACTAAACGTACTGTAATATTCAAGGGTTTATTCGTAGGGGTTTGATTTGTTTAGAGTTTGGTCAGGGATAGATAACAGTTAGAGGAACGTTGGGAAACCAGCTGGGAGTACTGGACAGCTGTTTAATCCTAGTTTAAGACTCTTCAGCGATACCCACCTGCCGAGGTTTGAACTCAGGACTTAACGGTTACAAGACGAACTCGTATACCATTCAGCCCTTGTGGGACCTGATCCAATGACCAGTTCATGAATTCTAACTTCTACCAATTTGTGATTTTAGTGCGACATCAGTCAATGTCATTTGTCAGTATTCGTCCTCATACTCGATGTGGTGGACTCTAATGGTGACGACGTTTCGCTAGAAGTCAAGGTAAGTTTGTCCTGGAGTCATTGAATTAATTTTCAAGAGTTACTTTGTAGGGATAAGATTTGTTTGAAATCTGGTCACGGGTTGATATTAGTTAGAGAATCTGATACTCGCTAGTCACTGGCAACAAGACGAAGTTCTTAGGAGTTCTAGTTAGAAGTCATCACCAGTGGGCTTTCTCATGTCAACAGTGACGACAAATACTCGCCGATGACACTGGCTAATGGTCACACTAAAATCACAAATTGGTAGAAGTTGTAATTCATGAATCGGCCATTGGATCAGGTCCCACAAGGGCTGAATGGTATACGAGTTTGCCCTGTAACCGTTAAGTCCTGAGTTCAGACCTCGGCAGGTGGGTACTGATGAAGAGTCTTAAACTAGGATTAAACAGCTGTCCAGTACTCCCAGCTGATTTTCAATGTTTCACTAACT